CTTTTGATTTTGGATATTTTTGTTTTGATTTTGAAGACATGCACTTTTCTCTCTCCTATTTCTTCTCTCTCTCCTCTCTCTTCCTTATTCTTCATTCATCTTCTCTCAATCTTGACTCCATTGTTGGACCTTAAAATTCAAAAAACAAAATAACAAATATACAACACAAAAGAACGGGATCACACCTAAAAGAGAGGTAAAAACTCAACAAAGAATACCAAGAACAAGGAGTTCACATAAACCCCCCAATAAAAAGAAAAAAATAGAACAGACAAAAAAAAAAAGCTATCGCTCTCTCGCTCCCGCTCTCGGCGCTCTCGCTCCCGCTCTTGCCTCTCTCGCTCCCGCTCTCAGCACTCTCGCTCCTGCTCTCGACCTATGTCTCTCATCGGAAAAGAATTGTAAATGGAGCAACTTGTTGCTCGTTTTTTCAAAGAAGGTGAAGAAAAAAAATGGGAATGAGAAGAGGTGGTTTAGGAGGGATAAAGAGGAAAATAGCAATAAATATTTAGGAATTTTTTTTATAGTGAGTAAAGAAGAGAGAGAAAGTTAGTGTTGGATTTTTCAAGAAAGAAAAAATTTGTAACGACATGAGAGAGGAGAGAGGAGAGAGAAAAGAAAGAGAAAGTAATAAATTGAAGAAAAAATGAAGAGATAAAATACGTATTTTCACACAAAATTTATGTCAGCAAATATTTACAAAACATAAAAATGAGGAGAGGGGCCACATTTCATAATGGGCCTTTGAAAAAGGCTATTTAGCCTGATTGCCCTTTTCTTTTATTATTTCTTTTGGTAGCTCGAAGCAATTAACCATTTTCTGCAAGCATGAATTCCCTATGGAGACGACCTTGCTTGTACTATAATTGACAAAAATTAGTGTATACTTGCGCTATAATTTACCCTTTGCTAGGAATACAACAAGCCGCTTGTTCTCTTCGTCTGCACCTTCAAGGACAACGAGCTCTTGATTGGACTCATCCTATTCACCGTCTGTGTCTTATTCCTCACTAGCATTGAATTCGTCCTTGTCTTGGCCCATCCTAGTCATGGTATGCATCCACAGCGCCCTCAAATCTGTTTATTGATGAGCAAGAAATTAACTCCTCTGGCTTTTTGGGTCTCTTCCATAGTGCTACCTCACTGGCCCTCACCCCCTCACCGGCGCTGTCCGTTCTTCTGTTCCTTCTGTACTGATGATGTGTTTTCATGGACAAACTTGGATCTAGATTGGTGTGAGCGAGAGTGAGATTGGTATGTGTGAGAGTGAGATTGGTGTGAGCGATAGCGAGAATGGTGTGAGAGAGAGCGAGATCCCTGTGCACGAGAGCAAGATTGGTGGGTGCGATAGTGAGATTAGTGTGAGTGAAATTGGTGTGTGAGAGAGATAGTGAGGGGATCAATTGCGATTTGATATAACTTTCAAGAATTTAAAAATGATATTTGAAAGTTCAAAATCATAATATTAAAATCTTTAAATATGTATGTATTGAATTTAATTTATATGTAAAATAACATGTATTGGGCAAAACATTATTAATATTCTACTTTTCTTAAAATAAAATAAAATACTAATATCCATTTTATCTTCTCACAAAGTATTTTAATTTACAATCCAAATTAAATGATCTTATTTGATCGTGAACTCCATTGAATCAATCAGCCCGTTTGGTAACATTCCCGTTTCTTGTTTCTTGTTTCTTGTCCTCGTTTCTCATTTTTTGAGAAACATAAATGTTTGGTAACTTATCCCGTTTCTTGTTTCTCAAATTTGAGAAACGTTTACAAAAAAGAGGCTAAATTTTAGAAACAACAAAAAGTAGTTTCGTTTTTTCTGTTTCCATTTCATAGTCTATAATTATTAAAAAACTGTGTAGTTACACCATAAGAAAAAGGAGCTCTACCATGTTTTTCAGCGACAATACAAGTATTTTGTCACTAAAACTACTTTTCAGCGACACCTTAGGTGTCGCTAAAATCACTTTTCAACGATACATGTCCGCACGCGTCATTGAAAATATTTTCAGCGACAACGGGTTGACTATGTTGTCGCTGAAAATCTTTTTAGCGACACGGCTAAATAACCACGTCGCTAAAAACTTACACCAGACGTGTGTTGGGTTGAATGAAGTTGTACAGAAGGAAGTTGAAGTTGAAATTTTTGTGAAGTGGGTGGTATTGAAGTGTATTAAAATAGAAAATTTGTTGGTGAATTGATTTTGGAGAAGTGTCTTTCAATAGTCATAGGGTTTTTTAGATTTGATACTTGAAATGGGATTCTTACAAATAAATGTTGTCCTGCATCATGTTTTGTTCTGTCTCTTTTAAGTCATTTGCTTTGTCGAGTCAAGTGATGTGCTATTCTAATTGTTGGATTTGAGATCTTTTATCCAATTCATTTCTTTGTTGAGCATGGAAATGAGTTCCTTGTAAACTGTAGCTGCTTAAATTTCTTGTAATTTTAGCTTACCCAGCATTAAATGGCATGCTTATGTTGTGTTAGTGGGTTTTGAAAGATGCTCGTGAGACTTTGCCCAAGTAATTAAAATTATGAGTTTCTGTCAATTGAGTTCTGTCTTGATATCTGGCCTTTATTGCTATGTTCATTGCGCTTGGTGAAAATACATTGGAGATTTCAATGGGCTAGAGTTATTTACTGCTTTTAAATACTTATTTCTTCATGTCTGAATATTAGTTAAATGTAAATATAGCATTGAGGTTATAGGGATTGATATTATTTAAATGTTTTTTTTGTTATAATTAAACTAAATAAATGTAATTTGTAAATAGGTAAATAACTAAAAGATATCTAATTCTACAAAAGATTGTTTTGTTAGACAACATTCCAATGAATCGAAATTGGATAACTTTGAAGGATCGAAGATGTAGTCAATACTCTAACGGGGCCAGCAGTTTTATTGAAGTTGCTAAGAATTATTTGGATAAAGAAGGAAAAACGAGATGTCCTTGTTCGAACTGTTTAAATGTCCTTGGAAATAAATTGGATGATATAGAGCGTCACTTATTTAAATATAGATATTTGAATAAATAAGTTTTGAATCGTTGTGACTATCCTGCACGTATGGTAGTTGTTGATGCGTGGATTTCGGTCCTCCGGTTCACTACCTCGCATCCACCAAACTTGTTGATCCGGGACTAGTACCTGCAAAATCAAATCGAGCTAAACCAGTGTGACTCTAGTCACACGGGCTCCGATGCTTAAGTTAGCAAGAGAATAACGTAAATGTAGTCAACTCTCTTCCCCCTATACCTCTAAGGCTGGATCAATACTTATAGCGTGAAGTTGTTCCAGAATCTTCCGTAGCTAACCCTAATTCACCGTTGCAGGGCCTGGG